GCGGGGAGCTCTCAGAGCCAGCTTGGGCGTCGGAAGGACGGGAAGGTTGTCTCTGATCACACAGCCGTGCCGCCTAGTTATGCCATGGTATTTTCCACCAGAATATCTGCTGTGGAGGAAATTATCCATCCCTCTTCTCTTATAGACTAATAAGCCCCATAAATTTGGGGAAATTCTTAGTGGAGGATTGCTCAAAAGAGTTGAAAATAAGCCAGAACTGTCTGGGGTTGCTCAGCAGGCTGCTGCCAAGCGCCCTTACGGATGCTTCTTCAGCCCGCCCGGGTACGCTGGGCTGGTCCCACTGGAGAAGTTTGTCCTTCTTCAGCCCTCCTGGTGCCCACAGCAGGAGGCAGAGCGGGGCTGTTCTGCTGGCGGGAGCAGTGGTGTGCTGTGGCAGCGGGGAGAGTCCAAAGCTGTGCTCCTCGTTGGCACCTGCCCCTCTGCCTTCCCCACTGCCCCGCTGCCGAGCGAGAGCTTCCCCACACTGGTGGTGTTGGGTGGGCAGCGGTGGGGGCTGCTGTCTGGCCTGGCCAGGCAGGCAGGACAATCTCCAAGGACACGGCACTTTGTCCCACCCGGTGCTGCCGGAGCGGGGCCGGTACCGCAGGCTCCCAGCCAGCCGCCTGCTTCACCCAGCAAAATGAGTGAGTCCCTTTGTTCCCCTCCCAAGGCACTGGGAGCGGAGCTGCTGGGAGCATCGCGATGGGAAACGCTCTCTGTGAGCCCTTTTCTGCGAAGAACAGAGCACTTCTGTGCTCACAGCCTCCTTTTCAAACTGCAGATCTTTCCTGCTAATTAGCCTGTCTTGATCCTCAAAGCTGTAATTATTCCAGTTGGCCTTAAATCCTGACTGCCCTGCATTGAAACGGGTCTTGTGGCATTTGCAATTATTTCTGGGTGGACATTTGAATATATTTACATGACTGAGGCAGATCAAGATAGCAGGAAGGAGCAGGCCAGGTTGTCTTTGTAATGGGCCTGACTCTGGCTTAGTGCTGGAAAAGTGCCCGAGGTGTTTGTTGTTCCCTCTGATCTGCATCTAATCAAGTGGGTCAGCTTTTGACTTTCTGACTTGTCTGCAGTGTATGGGCAGGCATCTGAAGGCGTTTAACCCTGGCCTGGCAACCAGGCAGTCGGCCGGGATGTGAACCACAGTGCTCCAGAGCCACAAAACCAATGTTGGCGGTGATGTTGCTTTGCTGCTGGGATGGGAAAGTGTGTACCTGGGCGGGCAGAGAGGCACTGCCTTTTGTGTCGTGGTTTGAGCAGGAGTGGATGAAAGCAGAGTGGGTGGATGGTGAGCAACTGAGGGCTTTGCCGGTCTGGGTAGGTGGAGCGGGATGGCAGGGGCTGGCAGGGGAACGGAGCGAGTCCTGGAGCGCCTGGCTGGTCCTGGGGCTGGCAGGGAGGGCAGGAAGGCCGCCTGGCTCCGGGACGGCTCTCCTGCCTGCTCCCCGCCGCGAAGGGGCTTTGCACGGGCCGCTGCTAAACGCGGAGAGAGTCGAGAGGAGATTTCTGAAGCAGTTCTTTGGACTGTCAGCAAAAAAAAACCCGCCTGGACGTCCAGTTCCTTCCCCTCCATTCAGCTCCCGCCCCAGCCACATAATCACAAAGAACTTGAAATCCCAGGGTGAGCCCAGGGGAGGATTGCAAAACCTGCGCTCACAAGCGGAGCAGGAGGGGGGAGGGTGTGGGAAGCCGTGCCAGCGTTCGCAGGAGTCCCTGCCGGGTAGGCAGCAGAGCAGGGGACTTGCAGAAACTGCAGGCTTCCTGCTGGGTAGCCTGCCGAGACGCAGAAAACCCCAAAAGCCTTAACACCAGACGAAGGCTGCAGGGATTTTTGTGTGAGGTCAGTCCCCAGAGGAGGGGCATTTTAACACTGGCTCGGTGTGTTGCTGTTAGCCTTCAGATGGTTTAATTTCTCAGAGTGTTTCATTCTAATGGGCAGCTGCTTCTCCTGACTCAGACCGTTACAATTTGCATGAGATGTTTTTGTTTTTCTCTTTATTTCAGCTTTCCCCCCCTCCCCTGTGACAGCACGTTGAAACTAAAGAAAATGTAGGGGGGAGACAGGTGGCTGAGAGAGGGAGGAGCCGGTGGTGTGCTGAGCTCCGTTTTGGAAGGAAGGAGAACTGCAGGGAGGGTTTGGGCTTCATCTGGGATGGAACAGGCTCTCTGTAAAGATTTATTTTTTTTAAGGACTGACTGGGTACGCGTGGCCCCTCCTCTCTATAGCGTACCTGGAGCTTCGCTCCAGCTGTAAACCTGTTTCTGGGTACGCCAACAGCCCAGAAATAATCTCTTTGGGTGTGCTCTGAGACAGACTTTAATTACCTCATAGGTAGAAGGCACCTAGCCTGGAAGTTGCTGATAAGCAAAAGAGACGATGAAAGCTTGGGACGGTGTCAGCGTCCTGAAGGAGCCCGGCTGGGCGCTGAGGTTCCTCTGACCGGGCTGTGTTTCTGTTGCAGATGCCTGCTGGGGTGAACGCCCGCTAGCTGAAAGCTGAAGCGTGGTCACCAGCCTGTGCGGAGGAGAACAGGATGCGGGTCACCATGAGGAGGGTGTTGCTGGTGGTGGGCTCAGTGGTCGCCCTGATGGTGACTCTGCACCTCGGCCAGCAGGTCCTGGAATGCCAGCAGGTCCTGAGCGAGAGGAGGCACAGGCTGATGAGACCTGAGAATGAGGAACTGGTCATGATGGACTCCAACCACGTCGAGTACCGTTACAGCAAGGAGATGCCCCTGATATTCATTGGGGGGGTCCCCCGGAGCGGCACGACGCTGATGAGGGCCATGCTGGATGCCCACCCTGAGGTGCGCTGCGGAGAAGAGACCCGCATCATCCCCCGGGTGCTGGCGATGCGGCAGGCCTGGTCCAAATCGGGGCGAGAGAAGATGCGCCTGGACGAAGCTGGGGTGACGGACCAGGTTTTGGACGCCGCGATGCAGGCCTTCATACTGGAAGTGATCGCCAAGCACGGCGAGCCCGCCAGGTACTTGTGTAACAAGGACCCCTTCACGCTGAAGTCCTCCGTCTACCTGTCCAGGCTGTTCCCCAATTCCAAGTTCCTCCTGATGGTTCGGGACGGCCGGGCTTCGGTCCACTCCATGATCACGCGGAAGGTGACAATCGCGGGCTTCGACCTGAACAGCTACCGGGACTGCCTGACCAAGTGGAACAAAGCCATCGAGGTGATGTACTCCCAGTGCCTGGAGATCGGGCGGGCCCGCTGCCTGCCCGTCTACTACGAGCAGCTGGTGCTGCACCCCGAGCAGTCCATGCACGCCATCATGAAGTTCCTGGACATCTCCTGGAGCGACACGGTGCTGCACCACGAGGAGCTGATAGGGAAGCCCGGTGGGGTGTCGCTTTCCAAGTGAGTGTCTCGACCCGGCTCTTCGAAGAGCATTTTTGTTACACGGAGCAGGTCAAGGCTAAAACCGGTGGCAAAGCTGTTGCTTGTGTTTGAGCGTGCTTTTTCAGGGGCAGAAGTGGCAGCACAGCCAGTTTGGCTGCAGCAGGTTTTGTGTTTCTGAGTAGAAGATGCCTGGAATACCAACAGCCTGTTGTACCCAACAGAGCAGCTTGTCAGGCGAGGATTTTAGGAGCAGGTGACTGCTTTATTCATCTGTCGTGACAGCGCAGAAATGATTTTGGTCTCTAATTTGAAAAGAACTGCTTGCTCTGAAACATGAGCTCTTTAATGCCTCTTTTCTCCGCCCGTCCTCAAACACCTCCCTGCCGCGATTAGTTTTGCCACTAATGAATGGCTTTGAGCAGCAGGCAGCAATTCTTGCCAGGTTTGGTGCTGGTGTTGCAGAATAAAAGAAATACCTGCTCTGTGGAGACACACCCCAGCACGCCCTCCTCGCTGGCTGTACGACTGTGGGTGCCAGGGGGGTGTTTGCCTTCTCCCACTTCTTCTCCTCTTTTAATGCTCTTTGGTTCCTAAAGGGAGGCTTAAGCCTGACTAAATTTAATCAGTGGCGTAAGGGAACCGTACAGGCGGTCTCTGTACGAAGGGCTCATGCCCGAGAGGTGGGGGCAGCTGCGGACACGCGGCTGCTCCGTTCCTCCATGACGGCCACGGGTGTGTGGCCGGGCTCCGCTTCCCTTGGCCCCGAGATGCTCTCCCGTACGGGGCTGTGCGGCACCGCCTGTGCCCCGGCAGTCGATGACCGGGGTGCTCTCACGGGGCTCAGCCTCGTTCACCCCTCCCAGGATGCCGAGTCGCCTGCGCCGCCTGGGGTGGGGTTTCCTTTGGCCAGAGCCAAGCAGGCGGCTGCTCGCCCCAGGCCAGCGTCCCGCCGAGCACAGGGTGCAGAGGGGCGCTGTGCCGGCGAGGGGCTCGCTCCTCGGGGTTTGGGGGGCAGGGAGTGCGGCCGGCGAGGAGCATGTCCTGGTGCCCTTACCCCAGGTGGGCAGCTGGAGCGTAGCAGGCACCTTTGGTGGCTGAAGAGATCATTTCTGCAGCAGTTGGCTCAGGGTAAATTTTGGTGAGGTTGCTTAAACAGGAAAGTTTTTGGATTTTTCACTGGGGTCGCATGGGGTATCTGTGCTACAAACCACACAGCTTTCCTTATTTCCCTGGAATAAGCAGAGGTGTCCTGGTAACACCCCGACCCTGGTGCAGGACGGGTCTGGGGCTGTGGAAACCCCTGCCAGGATCTTCCCTGTGAGTGGGAAGCGGCTGCCCCGAGCTGCCCCGCTGTGCCTCAGCCGGCTCTGCCCCGGGTGGACCTGGTGGGTGCTGAGCTCTGGTGCTGCGCTTGTGTCTTGGGCTTTGGAAGTGAAATGCTGAGGTGGCAGGGAACCAGGGCTCTTTGTCTGAGCCCAGTACGTGTGAGAAATCCAGCTTTAGTGTCTTGTTTTGTTTTTTCCCCCAGGATAGAAAGATCAACAGACCAGGTCATCAAGCCGGTGAACATGGAGGCGTTATCTAAGTGGATCGGGCACATCCCGGGGGATGTGCTGCAGGACATGGCCCACATCGCCCCCATGCTCGCCAGGCTGGGCTACGACCCCTACGCCAACCCGCCCAACTACGGCCACCCCGACCCCTTGGTCGTCAACAACACGCACAGAGTGAGTGTCGCTGCTGGCTGCCCGCGGCGCTGCCACGCGGAGGGGGCGCTGGCCCCGGGGGGCTGCGGGTCTCTGCACCCCCCGGAGCCCTCTGGAGCAGCAGAGGCTGCTGACCCAAACTGGCAAAGGGCAGGGGAGGAGCAAACACTCCCTTCCTTTCGGGAGACTGGGAGCGACAGACGCGCGGTTACGCCACAATGATTTCGAAACAGATGCGTGGGGTAGGTGAGCCCAGCGTGGCTCGCACCGGTGGCACTCCCTGGGATTTGGTGGTGGGGCTCGTCCC